CGGCGATGAGGACGACGAGGGCGACGACGACGACCATCGACGATGGCGGCGGCGACGACAGCGACGACGACAACATCGATCGATATAGACGACGCCGACGATGACAATAGCGATGACGACGACGCCGCCTATTTTCGACGATGACGGCGGCGACGACGACGGCAACGACAGCATCGATATCGACGACGACAAGGATGATGACGACGCTGACCATGACGATGGCGTTGACGATGACGACGATGACGACGACGACGACCATCGACGATGACGGCGGCGACGAGGACGACGAGGACGACGACGCCGCCTATTTTCGACGATGACGGCGGCGACGACAACGACAACGACGGCATCGATCGATATAGACGACAGCGCCGACGATAACCAGATGACGACGACGACTCCGACAAACGACGATGATGGCGGCGTTGACGACGGCAACGAGCATCGATATCGACGATGCAGAAGATGATGACGACGCTGACCATCGACGATGACGAGGACGACGACGACGTCGACGACGACCATCGACGATGACGGCGGCGACGAGGACGACGAGGACGACATCGATGTCAACGATGACGATGACAATGACGATCACGATGACGAGGATGACACCGATATCGACGACGACAACGATGACGATGATCATGACGATAACGACGACGACGACGCTGACCATCGAGGATGACGGCGGCGACGACGACGACAACGACTGCATCGATATCGACGACGATGGCGATGAGGATATCGATGACGATGAGGACGCCAACCATCGACGAGGACGGCGGCGAAGACGACGACAACGACGCACACTGGTATCGACGACGACAACGTTGACGATGACGATCACGACGACGATACCGACCGTCGACGATGGTGGCGACGACGACACCAACGACGATATCGAGATTGACGACGACCACAATGACGATGTCGATGACGTCGACGATAACCATGAAGATGACGACGCCGACCATCGACGGGGGGGTCGACGACGGCATCATTGACGTCGATATCGACGACGACGACCATCGACGATGGCGACGACGACGCCGACCATCGACGATGAGGGGTGACGACGACGATAGCGATGACATCGATATCGACGGCGACGACGACGATGACGATGATGATGTAGACGGCGACGATGACGGCGGCGACGAAGGCGACAACGAGGACAGCAATATCGACCACGACGAGGACGACGACGATAAAGATGACGACGGCGACGGCGACGGCGACGACGACATCGATAACGACGATGATAATGACGGCGGCGGCGGCGGTGGCGGCGACGACAGCGGAGGTTTCCAGAGGACCCTGCAGGTCCCTGGATTTTCCAGGAGCCCCTGCACAGATGCCCTCTTTGGAGGCCTAGTGTTAAGTCGGGCATGTCCCAGGAGGCCTCTTTGGAGTGCCTCTTTGGAGGCCTACAGGATGTTAAAAAATTGTCAACAATAGTCTGGGGACGGTTTTTTCGATTATTGTTGGACTATGTTTGAGTTTTTTATATCATTTTCTTCGAACATGATCCAAGATGCCTGCCTGGAAGGCTAGGGTCACCTTGGGCCAGGGTCACATCTGGCAGCTCTCGGTTCAAGGCAGAAAATGTGGACGCATTCGCGTTCGCCGTCGCTTTCGACACCTTCGCCTTCGCCGCCCCACGACGACGACGATGGCGACGGCGCCGTCGCCCTCGCTGGGGTCGCCTTCGTCGCGAGGCCTAGAGGGCCCGAAGGGATTCAGAATAGCGCGAAAAGCCAGGGGCACCATGGGGCAGGGGCACTTCTAGCCACACCCGAGAGAGCATTTCGCTCTCACAGTGGAAGAGCGGGGTGGATGCGGTAGCAGCTTCAGCCGCAGCAGGCCAGGCGCGACACCTTCATGAAGCCCCTGCCCCGAGCCCCTTGAGTGGGTCGCTCCCCCCCTGTTCCTGCATGTCCAATGGGGTCGGCCGCCTTAACAGCTCAAGTTTGTGCCTCCTCCCTCGCCTCCTCTTCCCTCTTCCTCCGCGTGTGACGGGCCTGTCTTTCGACGCGCGCCGGCACAAGTCTTCGGGATCTGCCTGCGCCCGTGGGTTTTTGTGACTCCCAGCGAGATTTTTGTTGTTTCTTCCGCGGCGCGGCGGCAGCTGCCGTCACCGGAGGCCGCGCGGAGCGGTGCTGGCCTCGGCGACGACGGCAACGACGACCTGCAGCGGCGTCGACGCAGACGGCGACGGCGCCGTCGCCGTTGTGCCGCCGTCGCTGGACGGCGAAGGCAAAGGCGGCGGCGTCGACGACGACGGCGACGGCGGCGACGACGACGACGGCGACGGCGACGACGACGACGACGACGGCGGCGGCGACGACGGCGGCGACGACGACGGCGGCGGCGGCGGCGGCGGCGGCCGTAATGAGCCGTCGGCCGCGCGGAGAGGTGCACGACCAGTTCCGGGCGGCCTGCGCGGGTCACGGCGGCGGGCGCGCCTTCGTCCATGGGGCCGTGCCCCGGCTGCTGCAGCTGCTGACCCAGGCGCGCCGTAGTCGCCGCGGTTGAAGGCGTCGTCGTCGTCGTCGTCGTTGGCGTCGGCGTCGGCGTCGGCGTCGTCGTCGTCGTCGTCGTCGTCGTCGTCGTCAATCATTGTCGTCTTCGCCCGTCGTCACCGTGCGTCGTCGTCGTCCGTCGTCGTCCGTCGTTCGCTGTCCCCGTGCGTCGCTGCTCTTGCTCGTGGGCGTCGCCCTCGTCGGTCGTCTTCGTTGTCGTCATCGTCGTGTGGAGTTGATTGTCGTTTCCGTTTGCCGTCGTCTTCGTCATCGTCGTCGCCCTAACCTCCATCGCCGTCGTTGTCCTCGACGTCGTCATCGTCATTGTTTGTCGTGGTCGTCGCTGTCGTCGCTGCCGTCGCCGCGGTCGTCATCGTCGATGGTCGACCTCTTCGTCGTTTGTCGTCTTGTGACGTTGCAGTTTGTCGTTGTCCTTGACGTCGCCGTCGAAAGAAGTGGATGAGGATATGCCAGAGGAGGAGGAGGAGGAGAAGTGAGGAGGTGGAGTTGATCGAGAAGGGGTATGAGGGCGTTGAGCAGGGTGAGAAGGTGAATGAGAAGGAGGAGGAGGAGGACGAGGATGAGGGGAAGGAGGAGAGCACGTGATTGAGGAGGAGGAGGAGGGTCGAGATGCATTTAGAGGTATTGAGCAGTAGGAGTCAGGCAAGGAGTAGGAAGAGGATCAGGTATGGGGAGAAGGAGGATGTGATCGAGGATGAGGAGGAGGAGGATGTGGATGAGGAATGATGAAGAGACGGATGGAGGTGATCGATAACGATGATGATGGTGGTGGTGGTCATGATGATGATCAATGGTGAACATTCTAATCATCAGTGATTGTGATGATGAAGAGGATGCGGAAGATGAGATGGTGGAGGAAGAGGATGAGGAGGTGGCCCAACGGATGGGGAGGCAACCGTGATGTACGACGAGTCCCCCCCGTCCTCTACCTCCCCATCCACTCCAACCCTCTCCCCCTCCCTCTCTCCCTTACTCTCCCCCTCGCCCTCTCCCTCGCCCTCCCCTTCCCCTCCTTTCGCTCCTTCCCCTCCTCCTCCATCCTCTGCACCCCCTTCCCCTTTGCCATTTTCTGTCCTCTCCGTCTCAGAAGCACACACGTACTTCAACGCGTGCGAATGGTTTTGCACTTTTTTGTTAGGCACCCGTTGGTTTTCAACGGTTCACTGTGTAGTTCCTCAACGTTCGGGGAACAAACAATGACATACACATAACAACTCGGATGCCCGCGCGCACCATCGAGTTCATATGTTCATGTCATTGCGTGTTCCCCTGAGCGCGCGGTAACCCAACTTCCAGCACCACAATGAGATCCAGTGATGTTGCACATGCCAGTTGGTACAGCATTTTGTTTTCTGTGACCCCCAGTGTAATTCTCAACCGTTGCTTCAACCTTTTTTTCCATGCGAACAAGGATGTTTCCCAACCGTTCATCTAATGCTCAAGCTGTGGCATCGGTGACCCCCATTACTCTTTGTACAAGCCTTGCACGCACTTGTCACTTGAACATAAGGAGGACGGTCGGAGGAACTCGAGGAGGAGGAAGAGGAGGAGGAGCAGGAGGTCGCGGAGGAGGAAGAGGAGGAGGGGAGCATCAGGAGGTTGATGAGGAGAAGAGAGAGCCGAAATAAGGAGGACATCGAGGAGTCGGGACGATGGGCGTGTGGAGAACGGTGAATCGGCCGCAGCCGCTCGCCTCCACCGTGCATATGAGCTGTCCAAGCCTTTTTCTCGCCGCATCCACTCTGCATGGGCTGCGCTGAACTACAGCCGAGACGCTGAAAGAAGGACCGCTTTGGGTTCGGAAGGGGCTCGCTGGCTGTTCCTGAGGTCATTGTGTTCCTCCAGCACTTCTCGTGCGCCCAGGCTCTCTTGGCGCCCATGAGGGGCTTGTTTCTTATTTGGCGTTCCTTATGTCAGCTTGACTGTACAGTTTGACCGAGGTATAAGATCGAGGTCGGTTCAGGGAGGGTACCCTCGTGTTCCCCGTGTCTGTTGGATGTTCTTGTGCACCCTGGGGAGGGTACCCTTGGATGTTCTGTGTGTTTTGGCCGACGGAGGGTCTCATGTTCTTGAAGGATGTTTTTCTGGCCTGGGTCCGACTGTATTTGGCGTTCCTTGTGGCAACAGCTTGACTGTATGCCCTGACCGACCGACCGAGGAGGAGAAGGGGGACGGACGAGGAGCAGCGGGGGCGGCGGCGGCGACGACGACGACGATCATGCCGACGACGACGACGACGACGACGCCGACGCCGACGCCGACGCCGACGACGACGACGACGACCATGCCGACGGCGACCATGCCGACGACGACGACGACGACGACGACGACGACGGACGACGGCGATGACGACGACGAGGAGGAGGACGACGACGAGGGGCGACGGCGACGACGCCGCCGCCGATGACGACGACGATGAGGGGCGGCGGGGGCGGCGGCGGCCGCCCGCCCCAGGCGATCGAGGATGGCAGGCGGCGCGCTGGCGGCCCCGCTGAGGCCCGCCGGCAGCTCGGGCGCCGCCGCCGCCGCCGCCCGTCGGCGTCGTCGTCGGCGTTGTCGTCGGCGTCGTCTTGGGCGCCTTCGTCGTCGGTCGTCGCCGTGGGTCGTCGTCGTCGTCGTTGTCGTCGGCGTCGTCGTCGTCGTCGTCGTCGTCGTCGAGTCCGACAACGATTGCGGAGGTTGTACGATGGATGACCGACGACGACGATACCGTCGACGACGCCATCCGCGACGTCAACGGCGTTGTCTTCGAAGACGGCGGCGGTTTCGACAGCGACGTCGGCGACGACGATGGAAGCGACGACAGCAGCCGGCGAGCGTGCCAGGCCAGCGTCGACGACGCCGTCCGCGGCGATGAAGTCGTTGGCGACGACGGCGGCGACGCCAGCGAGGGCAGCAGCCGACGAGCGTGCCAGGCCAGCGCCGACGTGCCCGACCCGTGGGCGGGCGACGGCGACGACGTGCGCGAGAGCGGGCACAGGGTCGCCAAGGATCGGCGTGGATGCAACGGGGATCCGAGGATCGAGGTCCGAGGATCCAGGGTCCGAGGCTCGAGGGTCGAGGCCCGAGGGTCGAGAGTTCGAGGGCCGAGGTCCGAGGATTTAGGGTCGGCGTTCGAGGTCCAAGGGTCGAGGCTGGAGGACCTGCCGCCGAGGGCGGGGTGGTGGTGGGGGCCTCTCGGGGGTCGAGGGCCGAGGACTGGTGTGTCGAGGGCCGAGGTTCGAGAGTCCAGGCTCGAGGGTCCGGCTCCTCCTCCCTCCTGTCTTCTGCGGCCGGTTCTGCTCCTGCGCGCCCTCGCCTGTAGCCGGAGAATTGCTTATTCCTGCCCCCGCGAAGTCTCGACTAATTCGCTGGTCGTTCTGGGATCTCCTTGAATTTTGGCAGGATGTTCCGGATGCTGGTGGCCCGCGGTGTCCCGCCGGTCTCCCGCCTCCGGTCGAGGTGCTCGGTCCGAGGGCGGAGGTTTTTGGGGTTCGTTTGGCCCCACCCCCTGGCCTTCCAGGGTCTTCTGATAGGGAGGAGGAGGATGACCAGTGGAAACCCACGAGTCATCAAAGATGTTGGAATCAAACCTCCCTCCAAGCTCCCTCTTCATAGGCCCCTACAACGGTTCACTTCCATTGAAGGAACTGCCTTGTTGGAAGGCAACAGTTTGAAGATCGTGAAGCGTGTCAAAACAGTGTTCTAGGGATGTCAACGCCACGTATCAACCTGACTGCTGCGTCGTGACGATCCAGAATCGTGCCAGAACGCCATGTTTCGGATTTCAACACAGCAAATCCACATAACCGTTGCGCCCGCATAATCCTGAATTTTTGCAAATCACCATTTCTGGTACGTTGATCATGGGAATCCGTGACAATCTTGCAAATGTTACAAACGAATGTGCGCGGCGCTAAGGCGAGAGCCACATTTTGAAAAGGAACCGCCCTCAATCCGCGAAGCTCTTGCACATTGTTTAAAACGAATGTGCGCGGCGCTTAGGCGAGAGCCACATTTTGAAAACAACCCGCCCTCAATCCGTGAAGCTCTTGCAAATTTTTAAAACGAATGTGCGCGGCGCTCAGGCGAGAGCCACATTTTGAAAACCACCCGCCCTCAATCCGTGAAGCTATTGCAAATGTTCAAAACGAATGTGCGCGGCGCTTAGGCGAGAGCCACATTTTGAAAACCACCCGCCCTCAACCCATGATGCTCTTGCAATGTTTTACAGCGAATGTGCACGGCGCTTAGGCGAGAGCCACATTTTGAAAACCACCCGCCTTCAATCCGTGAAGATCTTGCAAATTGTTAAAAATGCTAATATGTGCGCGGCGCTTAGGCGAGAACCACATCTTGAAGACCACCCGCCCTCCATCTGTGAAGCTGTTGTCATTTTTTAAACTTGAGGAAGTCTCAGGCGAAACGCCCGGCCCGCCCTAAAAATTGGCCTGGGGGTGCGACAGGGAGGAGTTATCTACAAGGAGAAGGAATGGAGGAGGAGCGTTGAATGCTGCATATCGATTTCTCCACAACTATTGGGCACCATAGATTCTCCTTTTTCTAAAAGAAGAATAGACTCACCCCCCCCGAGTTAACGATCCATTCTTTCGTTTAGCAATTTACATATGCTTCTGCCCCATCGTCCATTCTAATTTTGAATTCATGCTATCCCAGCCAGGCCACTATCACTCCCCTCCGCCATCCTTTGGAAAAAGACTATGCGCGCACTCTCGTTTATCAAAAATCACAAACTTTCAAGAATCTCTTGTAACAAATGAGACGAAGTGCACACGCGCGCGTCGTCTCGCGCGCATGCCGAGATCCTTCAATAATCTTCGGTTTCGGAAGGATGTCAAAATCGAGTTTCTCAAACACATACAAAAACACATATTTCCGCAACGTTGAGTTTTGTTTACGCGCGCGCTCTTGCGAAGTCGTATGGAAAACATTGACATTTCAATATTGTTTTAAACATGTTACGAAACGGGCTTCGCGCGCGCGCATGTTGAAATCATTCGAACTCCCTTGCGCGCGTGCCGTCGCGAGAATCCTCTGCAACAAATGGAACGAAGTGCAGGCGCGCGCGTCGTCGAGCGCGCATGCCGAAATCCTTCAAAAACTTTCGGTTTCGGAAGGGTCTCAAAATCGTGCTTCCAAAAAACGTACAAACAAACACGGATTTTCAACAAAAGCGTGCGCGCGCGCTCTTGCATCGTCGTCGTCGTCGTCGCTGTCCTCCCTCCTTCTTCGTCGTCGTCGTCGTCGCCGTCGTCGTCCTCTGTCTTTCCTCGTCGTCGTCGTCGTCGCCTTGGCGTCGTCGTTTCAGTCGTCGTTATCGCCGTGGTCGTCCTTCCTCCCTCGTCGTCTTCGTCGGCGTTTCGTCGTTGTCCCTCCTATTTCGTCGCCGTCGCCGTCGTCGTCGTCGTCGTCGTCGTCGTCGTCGTCGTCTTCCCTCCTCCCTCGTCGTTGTCGTCGTCGCCGTCGTCGTCCTCCCTCCTCCCTCGTCGTCGTCGTCTTCGTTGGCGGCGTCGTCGTCGTCGTCGGTGTTGTCGTCGTCGTCGTCGTTGTCGTCGTCGAAGTCGTTGGAGACGTCGTCGGTGTCGTCGTAGTCGTTGTCGGCGGCGTCGTCGTCGTCGTCGTTGTCGATGTCGTCGTCGGCGTCGGTGTCGTTGCCAAGTGCCATGTGGTACCCACCGTCACGGTCTTAAGAGGTTTTGCGACCAAGTTGCGGGTGTGAGGGTGGGATGTTTGCACGAGCAGTGGAGGGGACAGCTTCAAGCTGAGCATGTGAATTGTCCTTTTCTCAAAGAAGAATAGACTCTTCCCCCCCCGGAATTAACGGGTCACCGCTTCGTATTGCAATTTTCATACGATTCTGCCCCATCGTCCATCCTAATATGAATTCATACTATCCCAGTCAGGCCGGTATCCTTCCCCCCTCTGCCGCCATCCTCTGCAAACAAGTACATTGCGCGCACTTTCGTTTATCACAAATCATAAGTTTTTTGAAGAATCCCTTGCAAAAGCTATGGGCAAGTGCACACGCGCGCGTCGTCGCGCGCGCATGCCGAAATCCTTCAAAAACCTTCGGTTCCGGAAGGAATTCAAAATCGAGTTTCCAAAAAACATACAAAAGCAAGGTTTTCGCAACACTGATTTCCAAAAAAGATTACGCGCGCGGTCTTACGAAATCTTAAGACAACCATGGGTTTTTCAGGACTTCTTATAATACTACCAAGCGGGCTTCGCGCGCGCGCATGTCGAAATCTTTCGGACGCCCTTGCGCGCGTGCCGTCGCGAGAATCCCTTGCACAAAACGGAACGAAGTGCAGGCGCGCGCGTCGTCGAGCGCGCATGCCGAAATCCTTGAACAATCTTCGGTTTCGGAAGGATTTCAAAATCGTGCGTCCAAAAAACATACAAACACACAAGGTTTCGCAACACGGATTTTCAACAAAAGCGTGCGCGCGCGCTCTTGCGTCGTCGTCGTCGTTGTCGTCGCCGTCCTCCCTCCTTCCTCGTTGTCGTCGTCGCCGTCGTCGTCCTCTGTCTTTCCTCGTGTTCGTCGTCGTCGTCGTCCTCTTTGGCGTCGTGGTCGTTTCCGTCGTCGTTGTCGCTGTGGTCGTCCTTCCTCCTCCCTCGTCGTCGTCATCGTCCGTCGTCGGCGTCTCAACGTCGTCCCTCCTATTTCGTTGCCGTCGTCGTCGTCGTCGTCGTCGTCGTCGTCGTCGTCCCTCCTCCCTCGTCGTTGTCGTCGTTGGCGTCGCCATCCTCCCTCCTTCGTCGTTCGCGTCGTCGCCGTCCTCCCTCCTCCCTTGTCGTTGTCGTCGTTGTTGCCGTCGTCGTCCTCCCTCCTCCCTCGTCGTCGTCGTCTTCGTTGGCGACGTCGTCGTCGTCGGCGTCGTCGTCGTCGTCGTCGTCGTCGTCGGCGTCGGCGTCGTCATCGTCGCCGTCGTCGTCGTCGTCGGCGTCGGCGGCGTCGTCGTCGTCGTCGTCGGTGTCGTCGTCGTCGTCGTCGTCGTCGTCGTCGTCGTCGTCGTCGTCGTCGTCGGCGTCGTCGTCGTCGAAGTCGTCGGAAACGTCGTCGGTGTCGTCGAATTCGTTGTCGTCGGTGTCGTCGTAGTCGGTCTTAAGAGGTTTTGCAAACCAAGTCGCGGGTGGGTGGGTGCGATGTTTGCAAGAGCTTGGGATGTGTCAAATCATGGGTAGAAATCAGTTTCACCACATAGATCGCACCACATATAGTCCACTACATAAATTGCACAACATAATGTGCACAACCTATTATGTAGGCCTTACGGCCGGTGCCGCCGACTTTGACGGGGGACAGCGACCACGACGGCGGCGTCGGCGGTGACGACGACGCTGACGTGGGGCAGAGTCCTCAGGGATGCTTCGTGGGGCCTCTTCGGAGTGCGCTCGTAGGCCTCCGTGAGGCAGTTTTGGGGCCTCTTGGAGGCATTTCGGGGGCCTTTTGGGAGCCTCTTGGGGGTCCCTTCGGGCTTTCTGAGGGCCTCGTGGAGGCCTCTTGGGGCCTCGTGGGGGCTTCTTAGGGGCCTCTTGGGGCCTCCTGGGAGCTTCTTGGGGCCGAGGGTTCGACATGTTATTCAGGCTCCCGTGTGGGCACCCTCTTGGAGCCGTTTTTGGGGCCTCGTGGGCCGTTCTGGGAGGCCTCTGGGGCCGTGTTGAGGCCCTGTTGGGTCGTTTTGGGGCCGTTTTGGAAACCTCTTGGGGGCCTCTTGTGCCGATCCTGGTGACATCTTGGGCCGTCAGGGACGTCGGGAAACCTGAGCGAGAACGCCAGAATCTTTCAAAGGCCTGGAAGAGATAAATCATGTTTGCCTGTTGGGGGCTTCTTGGTGTGCTCTTGGAGGCCCCTTCGAGCGTCTTGGCAGCTGCTTAGGCTGTCAGGAGGCCATCTTCAGCGTTTTGGACCGATTGTTCGGCGATTGTTGGCCGGCGCTCCGGCGCCGCACCCGCAGCACCCCAGACGGTGCCCATGTGCGGG